GTTTATTGGTTGTTGGAGGCTTACAACCAGAGAGATCTCCACATTTTGCTGTGCTCTGTTGTGGAAGCAATAGCGCATGCAAAGTAAAATGAACTGCACTTGGCAACTGGGAAATCAAAACAGGGTCTCGCTGTGGATTTCCCTTGGAATTTTCCGCTTACAAACTAAACATTCACTGCAGTAGGTGAAGTTAGAGTTAAGGGGAAGAGAAAAGAAAGGTGGTGTAATTTAACTGTGGATTGTTTTCTTTTTATTTGAATTTCATACGTTACAAATTTACATTGCTTTCAATTATTTTGTATCATAGTTGCATATTGGGCAAATAAACCTCGATTTCACCTCCTTGGTGCAGAAGACACACGACACATCCCAGTAGAACACCGCCTCACAAACCTATTGTCTTTATTGTATTCCTCGTTCTTTTGTCCTGTTCTTTTCTATTGTTTTACGTCATCTGTGTCTTCTACTCCATGTAAGAGCTGATTTCTAGTCACCCTGGTAGGTTTTAAGTCATTACTGGTGACCTAGCGACTGCCAAGTTATAGCCCTGCAGTAAGCTGGATGGAGAATTCTTTTGTCACAGTTCAATGGTACTGATTGTTTGACTTTTCAGTGTCTGTTACCATGTCTGACGAGGATTTTGTAGGGGCTGGAGATTCTGGTGCTTCAGCTACATATCCCCAGCAGTGCTCGGCTCTGCGTAAAAATGGTCATGTTGTCATTAAAGGCCGTCCCTGCAAAATAGTGGAGATGTCGACTTCAAAGACTGGAAAGCATGGCCATGCCAAGGTTCATAATCACTTTCCACTTAACCTGTGTATGCTATCTTCTTGAACATGAAGAGTTTATTTTAAGAGAGTGATATCTAGTGCTTTTTTTAGTTTGGGCAGCTATTGAAACTCTCAGTTGTTAAGTGTTTTGTATGGTTGACCATTTGAGATTTCTATACAGCAGAGAGTTGATAGCCCTACATGACTCCTACAGTTCCGGAAGGCACATGTCAGGGAACTGAACAACATATAGCTTGAAATATAAATTTTTTTATAGAGCGGTTTTCAACTGAACCAAAACCAAACCCATTACAGTCAAACCTGTATATAACGGTCACCCTTGGGGAATAGCCAGGTGAGCATTATACACAGGTTTCCTTTAAACTCTCCTGGAAGTCAATAAATAGCATTTTTATTTGCAAATAATCACTCAATTTACATTTTATTGACAATAACGAGTAACAGCAATGCAACAAACGTAATAAAAAAGGCCCTTAAAACGTCTGTGGTGTACTTTCAGGAAGGTGCAGTAGAAATCTACTGAAAGCTAATGACCAACGTTTTTAAGTGGAAAATCACTCAATTTACATTTATTGACAACAATTTGAAACAGATAAGTATAGTACAGTGTTATGATCAGGGAACTATGACGAAAGTGAAAACAGTGTGGTACGCTTGTGTTGTTACAGTTACAATAACTATTGTTTACAAATGACGGCACTTTAATGTTATCTGCTGCAAGCATGTGCCGGACGTAGACGATGACGTGTATTAGTAGTTGTGTTTAGTACTAATATTTGTATTTTTGTGAGACCCCTGCCTTGGTGGCTGCTATTTGATGCGCTGATGAATAAAGCTTGTCATTATTCGTTAACTGTAACCCAATTACGTGACCGTTATATACAGGTAAAAGATAATGAAATTGTGGGTTCATGAAGTCTAAAGGGTGACCACATCCGTTATGTACAGGTGACCATTATATGCAGGTCAACTTAACAGTAAATATAAGGGACAATTTTTGGGAAGTTGTTCAGTGACCATTATACACAGGGTGACCACTATGTACAGGGCTGTTATATACAGGTTTGACTCTACTTACCAACCAGACTGCTTGGCCAATCTCAAGTGGTAGTAAAACCAAAACCAAAGTAATTGCTGATTACTTTTGACACTCAATTGAAAACCACTCTATGCAATCTATTAAATAAATTTATCATGCCCTTCTTAGTGTTTCAGCCAGAAAATTTCACAACGTGGAATTCTCGCAATGGCGCGCTGGCGGAAACACTGCTTCCTTCTCAGGTAGAGAGATAGGGGGAGGTCATGTTCGCAGATGCATAGACATGAGTGAATATATGAAAGATCATGTATTTGAAATGCTGAGAAAGATATGAAGAATATCAACTGAGCGAGGATCAATGATGTCGTCATAGCTGCATAGACTGTTAGCCCTGGGTCTTCTAGCCTTAAATTCCAGCCATCTCCTATAGTCTTAGAAAAAAAATCTTCTAGCCACCGAAATTTTGTTGCTATTGTCAGATGGTCATTACCTCCGGAATTTTTCGATATCAAAATAATATTGTTTTATTCACATATTTTGAGATTACCCCATCAATAAATCATGAGTAAATGTTGTAGTACCAGCTAACAGTTAAGGGATTTTGCTGAAATGCTTTCCTCTAAAATAATTTTGCATTATCTTTTAAAGGTCCATCTGGTAGGCATAGATATTTTTACTGGGAAGAAGTATGAAGATATCTGTCCTTCAACCCACAATATGGATGTCCCACATGTTTCTCGTAACGATTATCAGGTAAGTTTAGGAGGGAAAAATGATTGCCATTTTATACTCCTGATGTCTCTAATTGTGGAGAGATCATGGACTTGAGCCAAAAAATGGTTTTCTTCAGGTCTCCGTGTGTCTGTAAAACATTTATTTGCCATTCCTTGACAAGACTATGCACACACGCACACAATGTACTGCTAGCAGGGCTGTTAATAAGGCTCATAACCCATAACACCTGCTTCAGCTGAGTATGTTTGATGGGTCCTTGATGTGTACTGTAGTTGATATGATCCACCTAAAAGTTAACAAGTTTGTTACAAGGGTGAAGATCAAGGCTATAATTGACTCAAAACTTAAGACAACCCTGGCCGGTGCTGCTGCTTCCACTACTGCTACTACTGAATTTGTGCTCTGCCTCTAGAAATGAGGGGGACATTGGGGGGTTCTGAACACCGTTATACCACAAAAAAGTTCAGCAAATACTGGAGTATCGCATAAAAAATTGCCAATTACCGCAACACTTCAATGCCAAGTCGAAACTCTGTATCATACCAAAACCACTACTCTGTATGTCAGGTTTAGAGCATTAATAACACAGAAATAGCAATTAGGAATTTCTTAATGAATGTTATGTCAGGTTATTTTTGATTTAGACAAAATAAGTAACATCCGTTGGCACGTTGGTTAATAATTAACAAAAAATAACTTACCCTTTTCCGATTGAAACTGGAAAAGGCTCAGAAAATGTTTAAGGACTTGGAGGATAATTTTTAGTAAGTCCAAAATGCTAAAAAAAAATGCATCCCACAGGTTCAGGCAGAATACCGCAATACCGCAATTAGAAATTAAAATTAGCGAAATTCTGCAAGAAAAATTGTCAAATACTGTAATACTGCAAACCCCAATCTCCCCCTCAGAAATAAATGACCTTTTATCTCTTGAGGCAGTGCTCTAGCAGCACTCGATTGCCTTTCAGTAATTAACTAATAAATCATTAATAAATAGCATAATCATAAAGTTGTTTGTTTATTATCATTATTTTTCCTGAGCTTGACTGCTGGGCACCCTAGCCTACAAAGGCTAGTTCCCAAAGGGCCAAGAACTGTTAACAGCATTTGGGGGAAAATCTTGGGAGGTGGGGTGTACTCTGTAAATCTTTGGGTAGGGGTATGCCACTGAGACACTGAAACCCTTACCCTATACTAGACCATGATCAGCTTGATTTTGTAACCCTATTTTAGACTAGCCCAAAAATGCCTACGCTATCCCAGACTTGCTATTTCCAATGCAGAAACTTTATCACTATCATAGTCCAACATATGGTAACTAAACCAATATCTTACAGTCACTTCCAAGTTTCAATTTCTATTACTGCATAACCCCAGGTAAAGAACTCCATTTTAGACTAAATTACTTATACTCTGGCCACTTTCCTCGTAAATTATACCCTACTCTAGACCAAGAGCAGTGTTTCAGCCAGAAAATTTTACTTGAGGGCCAAAGTGGCCCCTGAAGATCTTTTTTAGGGGCCAATTTTTTAGGAAAGGGGCCAATAAATTGAAAGCTACAGATTGAAAAAATACATCAGGGTACCAAAGAAAATAAAGCAGTTTATTAGGATCTATGATAAAATTTAATAGTAAGTGCTTTTTGAAGTGTTTCTACTCAATAAAGCTTCTTTTGAATCAGATACTAGTATGAAGGATCTGTGCATAACAAGAGAACAATCCTTAGGCATACATGATGTAGTCAGTGATCAAGGGTTTGCAAGGCAATATAGAGCAATTTCAAACACGGTCAGCCATTTGTAAGTTTTCCAATGTGAGAGAATCAATACAGCAAAGCAAAAGGATCGATTGACTTCTTTTCTTATGTTGAATGTTTTAGAAGCAAAGATCTTTCAATATAATTTTCTAGAAGGACCTAATGTGCGACAAAATAGCCGTTATTGATCGTTGACACAGAGAAATGTAGCCGCCATCATGGCGACTAAATCAGAAATTTTGATATATCGATCACAATTTCGAGCCCTGGGATGGCTTTTAAATTATTATGCCTGTGTTAAGCCTGCAGTCTTGTGAAAGGAAAGGGCCAAATTGGCCCTTTTTTAGTTTTTCTGGGGGCCATCTCTGATCGTAACGTGGGATTCCTGCAAAGGCGCCCTCTGGCGGAAACACCGCAAGAGTGTCTGATTTCTCCCTGAAAACCACACCCTTCACAGCAGCACATGGTGGTATGTAATAATTATTATTCACTGATAAGTTTGACTTGAATTTGATTGCTCTACTCTTTTTTCAGCTAACAAACATAGATGAAGGGTACCTGTCTTTAATGAATGATGACAATGAGACACGTGATGACTTAAAGTTACCAGAGGGGGACTTGGGAAAAGAAATACAAGTCAAATTTGACAATGATGAGCAGCTGATGTTAACAGTTCTCAAGGCAATGGGAGAGGAGGCTGTAGTTGGTACTAAACCATTGACCAAATAGATGGATATGCAGCTGTTTGCAATCAATGTTTTGGACAGTAAAAACAGACCACTCTGATAAGGCACTAGAAAAAAACTAATATTATTGCTCTTCTTCTTTTCTTGATCCTGCAAACTCTTGAACTGATACACAATAAGTTTAGTTACCAAGTTCCTGTCAATAAAATTAAGCTTATTGTGAATTATAAGCTTTAGGTAGTTTCTGAGCAGTTCTTGCATTGTTTAGGATGAAAGTGTTTGTTCAAAATGGAAGCAATTCTAGCAGTCAATAATTATATCATGTAATTAAAGACCCGAGTTTTGTCTGTCTGGTATCTTCTTATTACTGTTAAAATTGCAGGACTATTCTTTCCAAGAAGCGAGAATAACCTGAATAGTCTAACACCAGGTTTAATTTTTCCATTGAAAACTTCAAAGTTAAACTAAATGGTGTAATGTTTTCAGTTCTAATGAGATAACAATTTCTTCTATTAAAAGAATATGTCATGGTTTGTATTTCAATGAAACATTAATTTGCTTTGCCAATGTTTCCCTTGCTTCTACTTAAGTTCTAAATCAGACCTAAATTTTATGAATGCATTTTGAAAACATTCTTCTCTGGTGTAAACTCTGAGCTATGTTGATGTTTAACACTTTCCAGTTGAAAGTTTGGAATGAATGAGCTTTAGGCACTGGTTTTATGCTTGAACAATTAGCACACTGGTGCTTGGTTTCTGTGGATTGTGAGCCAACAGAAGCTTGTGCTAGTAGTCTCATTTATCAAGTAGCTATGTTGCACTTAGTTTTTGTTGGCCAATGTAGGTGGCTGATTAATTCTACCAGAAAGGAAAAGTATAACAAATAATTACAACTGGGGATACTGATGTGAGTTATCAGCGTGTGTGTTGTACAGTACAAAAACTTAACTCTTTCAGTCTGGACCACTTGCTATCATCATTAATTAAGTTCTTTGATCAGTGCTATGTGTAAATCCATAAGGCCTAAGAACACGAGGTCAATTTTGTCTTCAGAGCAGCCTGTCAAAATTGTGCTATTTTGCCTTGATCAAATTTTCTATTAGAAATTGAAATATGGATTGTGTAGAATTATTCGGTGTTCTGTGCTGAAAGAGTTAAATGCCAAGATTGGAAGGGAGTTAGTCAAAAGTTTTGTCAACGTCTTTGTTAGGTTGCTTATATTTGGTCAAGTAGTTTAGACCTTGCTGTGGGTCGGAAATATTTTGACATTGTGTCCCCGAAAAGTATATGAAATGTTCACTTATTTAGCAAGTACTTATTTCGCGAATTTTGCAATTAAAATGCCTTAAAACCTGGTTGATATTCAGTTTTTTCCTAAGGAGTGACAAAAACAATGGTGCACTGAAATTAACAAATTGAGTTTAAAAGAAATTGGTTAGTTTGTGCATCCAAGTTGTTTTTGTTTTAAGTTATCATCATCATCATCATCATTATTCCTTAAAAATGGCGAAGGAAAAAGGTGATCTCTCTTACCTCAAGTCCTCTCGGTTCACTCTGCTCAAGCTTGACAAAATGAGCGACTCGAAGATCGAGTTTTAATTGGTTATAGAATCAAATATGGCACGAAGTAACTTCAACCTTCCCTCGCCAAAAGTTAACGCATGCGTATTCGGTGAGGGAAACAAGCAATCTCGTTCTTCGAGTCTTCGTTCCTTACTGTACAAGCTTGAAGAAACGAGCGATTCGAAGTCTCAAGTCTCACCCAAGTTTTGAAAGTCAGTAAGGATATTAGAAACTCTGGTAGCTTTCCACTCGACCGAAATTATTTCGGTTTGACTTTCTGGAAGTTTCTAGAGGTGAATGGAACAGCATTTTTTAGCCAAGAGTACTTTAATATTTAGTTGTACTTCCTCGCAAGAACTCCTCACCGGGAATTTCTGTTCCGTTAAACTTTGCGCTCGGACACTTCGTTTTAGCCATTTGGTAAGCATTCAGGAGGTGCCAGAAATTACAGACCTACCAAGATGCAAAATGGACCCGTTCTTCAAAGTTGTTATTTTTTTGGTATTTGATATCGAGGGACTCTTTGTCCCCCCCACAAAAATTAGTATTTGTGATATGACTGGGTACTAGTATAGATTACCACATAAGCCACACACAAGTACGCATTGCGGTGACAACGTCTGTAGTAACTAAACTTCTTATAAAACATTTACATGCAAACCTTGTGGTATGAAAATTAACTGCGCATGCGTAGTATTTCATACTGGAATTGGTTATTGACACAGATCAATGTATCTACAGATCTTGCCAAGAAACCAGCCTGTCCAGAAACAAAACAAAATGCACGCACAAGGCAACAACTCATTCAAAACACGGATGTAAGTGTTTACTACAGGGCCATAAAATTGGTTACGCAAGATTTAGCTACTACTGCTTCAACTTAGAAAACAGCGCTCAATTTTGGAAGCTGTAATCACAGTCAACAGTACAGATGGTGTAAGAGCTGTTTAAGACGTCGCATCAATCAATACAGTATTACATTGTGTGACTTAGAGTGTTTATCGTGTTTTTTTTTAAAAGACTAAATTTGCATATGCATATCGAAAGTTTTCTTTTTCTCGAAATCCTTTTAGCAATTTTTCACACACTATAGGATAACCTTTAGGGGGGTGCCAAAACAATGGTATACCATTGAAACGATTGCCTAAATGATTTAGGAAGCATTGATGTCCACAAACGTTTTTTGACGTTTTTTGCCCTTTTTTTTTCCTCGGTCGCGCTCGCGCTCGCTCGCACGCTCACTCACACGCTCGAGCGCACGCTCGAGCGCACGCTCGCGCGCGCGGAGAAATTAACTCGCAGAGAAGACATACCGTCAAACCTGTATATAACGGTCACCTTGGGAAATGGCTAGGTGACGGAAGGTTAGCACAAGAGAAATACGCCGGTTGTCGCCGGTTCAGGTAAATTAAGACCTGTTAGAAAGGATGAAAAACTGGATGGTTTACCGGGCTGGTAATCGGAATGGGCTCACGGTACGGCAATTGAAAACACGTTACACCCTCCCGACAAAACAGTAAGGTACACGAACCTGTTCAGAACGCTTGTTTGTTTGTTTTATTCAAATATCGCAAAAAAAAA